CGCGATTTGCAACCATCCGTGTCTTGGATCCTTGCATAAGGACCAAGAATAATGGTATTGACAATTCATTGCCTACTGCATCGTCTTGCCCGCGGAAAAAGCACATTTGCTTTCTACTACATACAAATGAATGCCTCAATATTACATCACTTAAAGAGAAGTATCGTGTTCGATTCGCAGCTAAATTAAGGCTCGTGATATGATAGCCAGGCTATTCCTAGATGAGATAATATTTCGTATCCATGTCAAAAGTTTAATAGTCGTATCTAGAGCATGATTTTTCTGTTTAGAGGCTCAATCGTTTTGCTTCACATACATCGCAAGTATCTGATCGTTTTTCCAAAAAGTATCCAAGCAGTCTCAACCATAATTGTGACAGCTTATTGCATCTCACTACTAATAGAATGATGTTGACCACCCGCACACGTGCTTAGGATGGTATCTTTTTTTCAACGGGAATCAGGAGGCTCGCCTGACCATCTGTCTGGAGATATACAGCACCGAATTGTACAATCTCGTATTTGACTTTTTTGCATAATTATCGCTGTTCGATGTTGATCACGATTTGAATCTACGTTGGCGAATACTTTGTCGAGACCAAATATCGCGGTATCCTCGCCGGTAACGGTAACGTTGACAGCTGTCAGATTATGCATCTCGTAGTTGTCAACGACACGATTCACAAAGATCACGATTTCAGTATTAACGACTGCGGCTTGTAAGACACCAAAAATGACTTCATGTTGATTGATTACAATAACTCACCCAGAGCATGCAGGCTCTGGCGTACGGGATGAGTGTTTATGTTGTCGGCATATTTCACGCGCGCGTCAGCGCTTATCATTTTACTCATTTGAGGTTCAGTTACATAATTCCTTTTAGCTGCAATTCTTTTCTGAGATGGCCATCCAATGGAGCATTTTGCGCTTCTTGCAAAATTCCGCACGCGAGGATATCATCGCGACACTATGAGTACGTCAGTACTGTGCACAGCAATCTTTATACCAACGAATGGCGGTCCAAGCGCGCTTTAAAACGCTTTTATATAACGACATGCGCGTCTTGAATCCTTTGATTTCGAAACTTTAAAAAATCAGCTCTTTTTACGCTTGAGTAGTACGCTGTACTTATCGCCTCAACCAGGTACCATCGTGTCACGCAATAGCTAGAGTGTGAGTAGCGCAAAAGTGGATTTACTTCCACATTAAGCCGACTACCAAACCTTGAAATTAAACTCAACAGCATTTAAATATAGTGTTATTATATGCACGACATGTGGTGATAACGTCGCTTTGTGCAATTCCGCATAATAATCGATCCCAGATAAAATTGAGTAAAGCGGGTGCACCAGAATCTTGGCAAGAGCATACTTGATTGAAATTTACGCCATGTCGAGAGCAAGTAGTTCTTCTGAGCAGCTCAAGGCTTGCGAGACCCAGACACAGCTATGTCCATTGGGATTTGTTTGTAGCAATGCACCGCTTATGGCAAATCCAAACTGTTATATGGTCAATACAGATTTTTAAGATCCAGAATTGATTGTTTGACACATGTATCACTTATTCTTCTTCCACAACATCAAACTACTGACACCCGTTACCTGACCAAGCCTCTCTTTGGGTCAGTAGGACTTATCAATTCACGATGTCCCATATCTTCGCGAGGTCTGCCTACAAACTATACTACTCGATAAAGTACCTCATGAAAAAATCACGTTGGCCCCACAATCGCACCTGTCGATACCGACAATCAGCTTTCTGAAGTGCATGTGAGCGCTTGCAAGTGCTTGATGTAGATATCAATATCTGACTATCCGTGATATGAACAACAATGGACAAATATCGTCGCATTGGGTTTGCAATTACCCTTGATGTGACCGAAACACCAGAGGATTGAACAGCGCTGACGCATTTGACGGCCTATGTAGTACAGCCATCGTTCTGAGAACATTCTATTTGGACGATTTACAGCGGTTACAGAGAAATTATTTTTCTGTTTAGCAGCTACCTATATATAAAATAGGACAAAAGCACTAGTACAGTAAAACTGACCATGCCGTTCTGCAGCATGTGGTCTTCGGATGTCGGCATCTGCGCTGAAAGCTGGCCGTTTAAGGCTCATTGCAAATGCCACTTGGTGTCACACTTCTGACACACTCTTCGAGTGCTAAGTACCAAGAGACTCTATCTCACTGAAGCTGCTCCATGGCAATCACGAAAGAAAGTGTACATGACATCACAACTGCTTCATAGTAGCCATTGACGCATGACGAATCGTTTAATCTCAGAGCCCTGAATGATCCCTTACTAGACTGTATAGTAACAGCGCGCTTGAGGAATCTCTCGTCACCTCGTTGTTATGCTACTCATACGACAGATAAAACAATTTGTCATCAATATATCTGCCATTCCTTTTGCTTTCAGTGCTATTCGAATATCTTCAATGATGGACTCATCCATGACGACTGACGCTTTCCGATTCTTCTTTGATACACGAACTGTGTGTGACATTATGGTGGGAACACCTTTTGCAAGAAAATAAACTTTCAGGCTCAATGAGATATACACCCGAGACACGAGACAATGTAAAGAGGCATATATATCCTAGCAGTATCCCGATCACTATATCCATGAAGGACGAATCTTTATTGCCCAGAGCCTGTGCCCCACCGTGAACGTGTCTGATAGTAGTGATGGCTCAGTAGTACCGTTACTTTGTGATAAGGCTGTATGATCCATAATAACTAAACAGCCAAGCCCTTATTTTTGCAACTTACCATGATCTGCATCCTCCGGATTTCATTTGATGATCGCAGCATTGAGCGGCTCCAACTCGATCTACCCGAAATCAAACCCAAATAGACATGACACACGATCGCTCTGCCTCGTCTGAACAGATGTCATCGCTAGGGATTCCATTCCTTTAAATAAGAGTAAAAGTTTTACAATAGATACACTCAGAGAGATTTCGACATACCCTCGCTTACATTCGTCTTATAAAAGTTACACATGAAAGACCATGACAAACGACAATTGTTGATCCGTCTCATCTGAAAACTATGTATTCATACGCTTTTTCCTGCCTAGCTTCACCTCAGATACTAAGCAACATCGTTGCTATTGGACAATCTCACGACCACCACCGAAATTATCGCGGCTTAATATCCGCGACGAAAGTAGAATAAAGGCAACGTCTGGCCAGAATCCGCTTGGGAAGAAGTGCGCACCTGATCTCTAAAACTCAAAGTTAAGGTTTACAGCGTTTAAGCCACTCCATAATTGAGGAAGGATTAAATCTTAGAATTAACACCAAAAAATATTTTAGATAGTCGAACTACTAAAAACTCACGGAATGGCTAAAAATAGTCTTCGACTGCCTCCAGATCAAAACATAGCCCATATATAGCGTTGTAATGCCTCTGCGTATTGGCTACCGTTTTTGACAGTCGTGCATTGCGCGACAACTTATGACAACCCTAAATGAATTAGGACTTCTCGCGGACTCACAAATCCTATGAAGTTGATTTTGACCAACAATCCTCACATACATTGCGTAGAAAATATCACTCCAATCAGGCTGAAAACTCTGATCTTGACCTCTACAAAATATAATAAAAAGGCTTTTCCAAGAGAATCTCCCGTCACTACTATGACTCGATCAACTAGCGAGGATTTTTTCTCGACCTTGCGTAAGATACAGACTCTCTAGACCTTGAAAGCAAAGAAGACGGATGTACAGAGGGGGCAAAGTATTAAGTCAAGTCATGTCACAGATACTACGTTTGCGAGTAACACTTCAGCTAAGACGTCACTTTCATTTTCCTCAGGTGGCCAAGGTCCAGCGTCCCTGACGCGCTCGCTGAGCCTCCATCTTTTGCAGTTTGACTAGACCTCGCGACACGAACTTTGTGCTCACCATTGGATTCGAAGAGGGTGAATCAATGCGGAAGACCCTAGACCGCGCCACACCACCTACTTGATGACGGCGACTGAAACACTGCTCAAGATATTTTTTCGCTATCAGAGCAATGCGAGCACTTAAATTTTGCCCTCAGTCTAACGAATCTTGCCTTACTGAACGGGCAAGCAAGAAACGTTACACCTGATCGCTAAATTAGGGTTACCATGCTGGCGATGCCTCAATTCTAAAGCTGTTGCGTTTAAATGTCTTTTCTCGAGCCCAGCCTCCTCAATTAGAGTTTGTTAGTGTGACGCGCTGATGATCCTTCTGGTGCGTGGCCAAGAGCACACCATCTCAACCTCTCTGGTCCCATTCCTAAATTTCCTTGCCCTGTCTTGAAGGGTCGAATGCTGAACATAAGCTGCCTCACGGTGAGAGACAGTTATGCCCTAAATAATGCTTGGGCGAGGCGTGCCTGGATGTGTCTTCACCGCATTTTTATCGCTGGTGAGCACCTCAACGCGAGCAATTCACGCTTTCGAGACATTGGCACTAGTTGTACTTTACCTTCCCGAACGACTAAAGCCAGGAGGAAAGATCGTGATTCAATCTAACAGAGGATAAAATCCTTTGAAACCACGGTCATCGAATCGATGGTAAGTACCATCAAGTGCAACGGGGTTATCGTGCACCTCACATAGAAAAACTATGACATTACGAGTCTGCGTCGATAATCGTCCGAGGATAGGTTTTAGGCTCCACTTAACATTTAGCACGGAGCCGAGAGCTTCTTAAGATACAAGTACCTATTTACACTCATTGAATTTCGCGAGCGATATATTTCTAGTATCAATTTGTATATAAGTTACTCATAGTGTTAGTTCGTACCAGTAATTTTCATCTCAGTACCACATGAGACTGGCTACAAGTCCGAGGTACGATAGTGACAATAGTTTAAGGTAAGCACACACCATAAATCGTGTCCATATTTTATTGCTCCATCTTTCACACATAATTAGTATTCAGCGGCTTTAGCAGCGCTATGACAAACCTGAAGATAATGATCGTGTGTATTGACCGTTTTTATAACCGCGCTAAATATGTGTCAGGCGTGCATGGATGCGAGAGCTGAAGACCATCAATTGACTTCTAATTGCCATAGGCAGTAACGTTCCATTGCTATGATCGAGTTGCACAATTGTAAGCTATGGAACTTCTACCGCACGAAAGACATCGACGCTTACATTCGTGAGGGCTTTGTATGGACAGATTCATTGATGTCTTAGGACAAAGAAAAGTGGCCAATTGTTCTTGCCAAGGGTTTCTCGAAATGAATGTGTTGGTACGTCGGAGAATGATAGCCGAACAGGTAAGAGGCATATCGTAATGATCTTTATGTAATTGTAGAGCCCGACGCTTTTACAAAAGATATTAGTACACGAGTGGCAAGTGGAGCAGAAATTACTGGATGCGGCATTTACTACAAAACGAACTTAATCGTTTTTAGAGTGGAAGGAAGCGGCTAGAGCTACGCAAAAGGAGAGACGGAAGTCAAGAAGATGAAGTTAGAGGAGGCACAAAAGATGATAAGGAAACAAGTGTGGACACTACTGCCAAGGTAGTAAATGCGGAAACTGAAAGTGTGACAGGAGGGTACAATAGAGAAGAACAGATTGTCAGGATGCCAATAGTGAAGCAGATAGTGAAGCAAAAGCTGAAGTAACTTTCGTCAAGAAGCCAAAGGTAGAAGCCTATCGCAAGGTTCGAAGATATAAAATTGTAATAATAATCAGTGTTCTGTGATATAGCTTTGTTGCGTAGCATTACTAGATAACAATTTGAAAACTGCACAATTTGAAAGCTACAAATGCAACGTCTACACTAGGTATCAGCGCTAGTCCTATTACGCAATTATGCAATCAATCGTGTCGGTTTTGGAGCAATCATAGCTCTGAAATCAAAGCACGACTAAGACAGTCTTGTCCCGACAGAAACAGAGTAACTTCAAACAAAAGTATCACGCACAGAATTGCCCTGACGTAATCAATCTTTGACCTCACGCCAAACCTAAAAAGGCGTCAGCATTCTAGTCTCCGTAATTGTGTGCACGTAATGACCAGGAAGTACCAAGGCTGATTGAATGCTCTAGATCTCTGTAAGCGACCATTCATTTATATTCCACAACGACCTTCTAACACTGGAAACGATATCGTGCATGGATGCATCGTCCTGTAGCTTTTCTAAAAATTTGGCCCACATGACTTTATCTGCCGACTCCTTAAGAAGATGGTCCAGTATTATTTCACCAACATCTTGGTTCGCTTTGAATGAGGCTATACGTAATGAGGCTATACCATCTTTATCAGATAGATACATATAAACACGGACAAGTAAACGCTGAATTTCTATACTTGTAGACGCATTGTACGATATTCCAATCCATGAGCAAAAAAGAGCGCTCAACACACCAATTAAATCCGGATTCTTTTTCCTTTCTTCATTTATAAAGTGAGCCAACTTCACGTCATCGTGAAAAAGGTCTCGCAGAGCATTCAGAAGAAATAAATCGGGATCGTCGCCCGAACAACTTGCGTACGTCCTCAACTTAGCAATATTCTCACTTGAAAGAGAGATTTCAACACCAGATTCAGTCGTCCATTTAAGTATCAGGGTCTTCAATAGATAGGAGAAAAACGATTTAAACTCCTTGGATTCGACGTTTTGCAGTATGTACAGCACTTTAGCCCACATGAAATCATCTGACTTCAAGGACAAAACTCTATGCAACACCAGATGTAAAATAGCTGGGTCGCTAATCGAAATCGGGGGTTCTAAACTTAAATTTTCCAGTCTTTGTATGATCGGCTTGATCTCAAAAACGTTTGCTATGTCCAACTGATGATTTTGAAGTAAAACATCAAAGATTTTAGAGAGATTTTCGTCCGAAGCTTGGTCTTGTTGCAGCTTATAGAGAAGAGCGGCCCACATGTATTGATTCTCCGACTTCGTAAGCAGCTCTGACACCAAATTCGCCAATTTGTCAGGTGATGGTTGGTGGGACGAGAGAGCATGGAGTTTTTCAAGCAGAAAATCAAAAGCGTCGACAAGTATGCTCTTATTCTCGGCAGCTGCAAAGTATGGCTGTGCGATCCATGAGTGGAGAAGAGCATCAAGCACACTTGAAAAGGAAACTTGCTGACTTTCATCCTTTCGCAGCTTATTGAGAGCGCGAGCCCACCTTGCTTCAACTAGCGATAGCTTTCGCAGCCTTTCTAGAAGGAATAAGCTGGGATTGTCACTTGAGAAATACGCGTACACATATAAATTGGCGAATTGAGAGCTCTTCAAAATATTTTCCCTCCAGTCTAAGCGCTTCGAGAATTGAACCGAATCTTCTGGTTTTTTTGTCCATGAGCGAAAAATAGTTTCCAACCGACTGGAAACAATTTTAGACGCTTGGTTGTCTTGGTTGTAGTGTTGCAATATGTATAACAGTTTGGCCCACATGACTTCATCGTCAGACTTGCGACGTAGCTTTAGAAACGTATCATCAGCGGTCGAAGGAGGTTTTCGATCCTGCTCCGAGTCGAGTAGCTTCATCAGATCCTGAACAGCCGCACTGGGTGAGTAAAATTCTGCAGTATGTGAATCGGCATGATATGACTGAAATACAGAGTTAAAGACATCGGGTTTTTTTTCGTGAAATTTCAGCATATAAACCAGTTTTGCCCACATGAGTTCATCCTTCGAACGCTCAAGAAGTTTTTTCATCACCATTTTGCCAGCTTCCTTGCGAGAAATTTTGGCAGCATACATTCTCGAAAATTCGGTACTCGTCAAAAAGATGACAGCATCGCTGGGTCTGCAGCCTACTGCACCTTTATCCTTTGTTCGAATAAGACCATCAAATATACTGGAAAGTGGAAAGCCTGTACCATCTTTGATTAATTCATCGTAAATAATTCGAGCCCACATAATCTCATCCTGTGATCGCTCAAGCATTTTTGTCAGCATGAATGTGCTAAATTCATTTTCTCCCAATTCTTTGAATTTTTCCCAAATCAAATGACCCACTTGTAACACGAACACTTTGTGGTCGTCGGTAGGGGAAAGTCCTAGTTTCATGTACATCTCATCTGTCGGTAGGCTCATCCACCATTTCATCTCCACCGCTTCTGCTAAGTGATAATATAGACCATTCAATTCCTTTCCATTAGCAATAATAGTGGATAGGGTGAGCGGATCCTTCTTCAATCTCTGTACTAAAAGATCAATCGCAACTTTCTGATCTTCTGGTGACTTGGTTCCAAACCAAATTAG